CGATACGCCCAGACATGGAAGGTGTGAGGCTGTAATTATGCCCTCTGGACGTCCCACTGCCCCGTCTCACTCTGCCCCGTCTCACTCTACACATCCACTTCCTGGATGAACGGTCAAAGTCACGAACCAATTAGAAATCCTTGAGAATTTTAGATCAGCCGAGTGGAGGCTGAGAAGTGCAGTGTGTAAACATGTGGCCAAAAGTGGTACTGCAGCCTCTCCCACTCTCCCTGACTCAGGTTGCCAGATATGCAGACGAATCCAGCAGGAACCATAACAGCTGAATAGACAAGAGTTTTGTCAACAACAAATCTATAACCAACACCTTTTTCACAAAGATAGAAATCCTGGTTTTATTCCTTGTTTTGTCGTTAATGATTTGAGAATCATTTTAAAGCGGCACTAACTGACTTTGGGATTTTGAAGCAGCGGACTCGCTGGCCTCTCTCTTTCTGCTCCCCTCCCCGCACCCACGAAGCTATCGCCCCCCACACACACTCACTGTTGTTGACGGAGCTAGCGTCTCCCAATATGGATAGATCCATGTATCGTACATTTGAGCGTGGATGGCGTGACCATAGAACGATAGAACCGGGAAGCGCGGAGGAACAGGACTTTCTTTTGGCTGTCTCGCTGAGTAAGCAGTAACCGGTGACGAAGACGAGGAAGCTTCAGGTTAGCTCCTCGGCTTGTTGTGCTAACTCAGCCGTCTATGCTAACGGACCTGTAGATTGCTCACGAAAGTGGGGCCCAGTGGTCCGTTGTGATTGGTCACAATCTGCGACCTAAAACACATTCTCTTCCTTGTTTAATCAAAACTCGATCTAAAATATAATGTCACACCAGCACAAATCTGCGCTACTTTTTCTTCAAAAGGACGTTTATCCCAAAGCACTGCATGGACATGGATAGCACTTTTGTAATGAATACAAAAATAAAGTCAGTTAGTGCAGCTGTAAACTTGAAAAAATAAGCATAATTTATGTATATTTTACTTAAATAAATGATGACAGATTAGGGCCCTTTAATGATGACAGATTAGGGCCCTTTAATGACGACAGATTAGGGCCCTTTAATGATGACAGATAAGGGCCCTTTAATGATGACAGATTAGGGCCCTTTAATGACGACAGATTAGGGCCCTTTAATGATGACAGATAAGGGCCCTTTGATGAGGACAGATTAGGGCCCTTTAATGATGACAGATTAGGGCCCTTTAATGATGACAGATTAGGGCCCTTTAATTATGACAGATTAGGGCCCTTTAATGATGACAGATTAGGGCCCTTTAATGGTGACAGATAAGGGCCCTTTAATGATGACAGATTAGGGCCCGTTAATGATGACAGATTAGGGCCCTTTAATGATGACAGATTAGGGCCCTTTAATGATGACAAATTAGGGCCTTTAATGAGGACAGATTAGGGCCCTAAATCCAGCCCGGAAAGCAAAAGCAAGAGTCCGTAATGAGGAAGTCTTTTCAACGTAAACAGCTGCAGTCTGTTTTGGAAGAGTTAGTGAAAAGTATTGATCGCAGAGAACACGGTTTAAATCAGACGCTCCATGTCGCCATCTAGTTTCCGTATTAGTCTGGACCCACAATGCACCGCTGGTGTGACAAGTTAAGTTTCTGGTTGCACTCAAGGAAAATGTCAAGGGCGATTTTTCAAGATTCAAAAAGACTTTGGAAAGCCTCAAACCGACATTGTGACGTAAAAGAAAGTATGTTGAAACCTTGGATTTAGTGTGAACCGTTACTGCCTGTGAAGGGAAAAGTGTTGATCCAGAAGAAACAGAAGAATTTAACCTTTGACAGAAAACTAGACTGACTGGATTCTGGAATTTAAAATATGTAATGATACGTCCTTCTGATTCACAGCTGTGTTTTATGTGGAATGTTGTCATAAACAAATGTCTGTAAATAACAAGAGTATCAGCACGGTACAGCGCGGTTATTTTGCGTTTCCACTAGTTTCACTGGTTTCGTTCAGTCTCTAAGTCGATGCTGTTGGGATTTAGGGAAACACAAGAATAGACTGTATTGTAGAGTATCCATAGAGCAGCGATGTTTCCATAAACACATCCGACTGCTCTCTCCTGCACAGACCTGACCTACAACGTGCCCTCTCTTCTATCCACAGGAATAAGCTACACTTTCAACAGTTTGCTAAGAACAATACAACCCTTTATTCAAACAAACACTTCCTGTAGATAAACTCTCGGGACGATTGTTATCTGTTTTATCTGTTATCTGACCAAGAACTCTCCTTCAAGGCTTATATAAGCCAAGCAACTAAAACGGCGTACTTCCACTTACGGAACATCGCTAAAATTAGGAATTTCCTTCCTAAAAGTGACGCGGAAAAACTCATTCACGCGTTTGTCACCTCAAGGCTTGACTACTGTAACGCTTTACTGGCAGCGTGCCCTAAAGCGTCTTTGAAGAGCTTCCAGCTCGTTCAGAATACAGCAGCAAGGATCTTAACAGGTACCAAAAGGAGGGAGCACATAACTCCGGTGTTAAAATCACTCCACTGGCTCCGTGTGGAGTACAGAATAAAGTTTAAAATCCTACTCTTAACATATAAAGCCATAAATGGCTTGGCTCCTTCTTATCTCCAAGACACGTTAGTGTCGTATCAACCAGGTCGAGCGTTGCGCTCACAAAACGCCAGACGTCTGGTGGTCCCTAAGGTCTCAAAGGTCACTGTTGGTGGCAGAGCATTTAGCTACCAAGCTCCTTTACTGTCGAATCAGCTTCATTTATGTTAAGGAAGCAGATACGGTCTCCACATTCAAGGCCAGGCTTAAAGCACTCTACTTTAATTTAGCATATAATTAGGTAATATATAATATGTGGTGTTATATATTATATATATATGCTGTATTATGTTATATATTTACAATATGTGTATTATGTTGTGTATCGTGGTTATGTTGTATATTATATTATATATTATGCTGTATGTTATGTATTATATATGAAATATATGATATATAATATATAATTAGGTTGCTTGGATCGGTTTGGCACACCTGGTGTGCAATCCATGAATCTTGGTGCTTGTAGCCTGGGCTAGCCTAGCCTAGCCTAGCCGTGGCTGCTGCTGTCTCACCTCCTTTCAGATACGCTCTCTTTATTCAAGGCTAGGTTTAAAACAGTCCTCTTTAGTTTAGCATATGGCTAGGAAGGTAAGACTCAGGGAAGGCTAAACTCCTCAGACTGTCAGTCAAGCTGCATAGGGAGCCCCCTGCTGGAGAAGTATGGTAACTGCACTATCCTCTCCTCCTTCCTACTTTATCTGTTTAGCATTATTAGGATTTTGACTGTAGTTTGTTCACTGCTATTCACCCGTTGTCCCATTGTCTGTTTCATGGTACGATGACGGGATCTCTGAGCCTGGCCTCTTCCATCTACACCTGCGGACTGCCCCGCCCGACCCGCCTGGGAGTGCTTCAGTCCTGCACCGGACCTGTCCACGTTCAGCGGCCACTGGTCCACGTTCTGTAGCAGCTTAGGTCCTGGATCATTAGCCTGTCCGTCCGGAGGAGCGGATCCCTTTCTCATATGGGTCTCCCTCCCTGTGGGTTTCCCTAGTTCTCCCCAAGGTTTCTCACTTTTTCCCACTGGGTTTTTTTAAGAGTTTTTCCTTGTCGATGCAGGAGGGTCTTGTTGGACAGTTAGTGTCCAACAGAAAGGATTGGTGATGATCAGGACACTTTAGCATTCTACAACATGTATGGACATTTTCTTCTGTGTGTGCTTTATATTCTTCATGTGTTTTAACTGTTGATTCTCTGACCTGTGTTGGTGATTTCAATGGTTTTCTTAAGTCTCTGAGATGACTTCTCTTGTGACCTAGGGCTATACAACAATAAATTGTATTGTGTTGTATTGTATTGTATTGTTTTCTCCGTTGCCGATTGCACAATGTCAGATCAGAGTTACATAAGACGTCCCCCTCCCAGCTCCGTGCGACGAACCCGAGAGACCGGAGCGCTGGGAACACCTGAACACCCCTGAGACTTTCATCCTGTCAAAATTAAACTCTGAAATTGGGGTGAGAACAGAGCCACCTACATAACCAGGCAGTGTGGAGAGATTCAAAAAGTTCCAAGGTCAAAGAGAAAGTTGCTTTGGGGAAAGGGACAAAATGGCCGCCCGGTGACTTCTTTATCTGTGTGGCTCGGAGCAATGGGGACATTTGGATAAATGGCTTCGTTGACCCGATGGAGAGAGAAGGGAACATTTCTCTGATTTGGTGAAGTGTAAAAAGTCCATTTGAGGTTTTTTCTATTTCTCTCAGAAGGTTTTTAGACAGAAGCTCGTTACTCACAATGTTTTTGTTTTGTGACAACGTTGGTCTCCATAACGCTCATCCTGCTCCTACATGTAGATTATTTCTATGTCATTTTTTAAATGAATTTATAGATATATTTTGAATTCCGCCTTTATCTCAAAGAATGTAGCTGTTTTTGGTTGCCTGGTAACTAACTTTCTGTGACGGCTAAAGCCCCGGTCTAGTTTGTTTGTTTTTATTATGATCCGCATTAGCTTCTGTAGCTAGTCTGTAGCTAGTCTGTAGCTATTCTCCCTGGGGTCTATGTTATTACTCATTATTATACGGCTCCTCACAGCAGCAGTAGAACGCTCCATTGATTTGAATGTAATTTCAAAACGTTCTACCGGTCATTATTTTCTATAACGGACCTCTCAAAACAATAATGACTGCTGCCCTTTGGCAACGCACTCTCTGCTTGTCTTTTAAATGCGTGGATAACTCCGCAAGTAGTTCCGACCACTCCTGAGCTAGCCACGCTCAATCAACACACTTAAATGTTAATCGGAGAATACTTATACATATACATTCTTCACACACGTGCACAGAGGTTTTCAGAATTTTCTGGTCTTGTCTTCATGACAAAAATAATATTTATCTGCTTAAAAAAGCGATCGTGAAAAACCCGGAAGTAGTTCTGGCCGCTCAATAAACGCAAAT